CTTTCTTAAACCACCGGTTCGCCTCCCATAGAACTCCATGTAATTACATACCACTTAAAATGCAGGCGTGCGAAGGGAAATACCGGTTATAGTGCGGTTTCTGGAGCAGCGAGCACGCTTCGCCGACCAACCGGCGCAGCGAGCACGCTTCCCTGTGAGACACCAGATAACGGCGCTAGCCGCAAGCGGCACTCGCGGGGGCAAGGATGGCAAGGAGGTTGCTCGAAGAAGCGGGGAGAAGCGAAGAGAGAGGCTTCAGTTGCCATAGCGACGGAGGGACGCACGCACGTGTCGTTCACGGCACAAGGCGTTGGCGAGCCCAACCAGCCGTTCGCGCACGTTGCATGCCGGTCGCGAGCCGGCTTCTTCTATCCGCGAACATGGCGTCGGTGGTGATCGTCGACGGCGTAGTGGAAGCTCATTGTTCCGCGTAAAAGCGCTATCCTTGACTGTGAATTTTCGTTGTGTCGCTACGATAACCCAGCACATACTAGAAGGGAAGATCCACCTACTCGTGCGGCGCTGTCGTGGCAGCACTCTCAAGACGGCAGAAACGCCCGTGTCGTCGTGTTTGTTGACTTCGACTACAGTGGTGCTTTTAAGCATTTGTGTTTTCAAACATCGCCCGGATTTCATATTTGGAGCATTTCATGCCATTTTTGGAGCATTTCATGCACATACCGTATAAAGGATGCAAATTTTCATGCGTTTTCATCACCAGAGAAAAGTGATTAGGGTTAGCAATCATGAACGCTCACAACGTCCGTCCGCAACCTGCGACGCCGTTAAAAGGCTGCGCCAGACAAAAGCCGCTCATTTCTTTCAAAATGTGACACACTTGAGAGAGAAGTGTACTAGTCTGGTGAAATAGAGACTTTCCTCAAACTAAGCTTTATTTTTCATCTAACATAAAATAAATTCTTTTACAAAGGTAAGTTGTCTCATGGCATGTATTTTGGCCTGAAAAATTGATGTTTTGGTTATAGCGCGGTACCGCTTATAGTGCAGATTTTCGCGACTCCCGCGACATACGTTATATGCAATCTACACTGTAGCCTGTTCGGACAGGCCTTTACAAGTGCCGCCACCCCCGGAAGTCGGGTGCGCCGTGCGCTGTTCACCGCCGTACATTCAGGTTAATTGGCGAATCGCTATCAATAATACTCGTTCGCGCAAATAATAAAACTGTAATTTGTAAAATGAGTGCACAGAATGGCGCAATGCTACAGGTAGAGCTGGCTGAACTTGTAACAAGCCAAGGTGTTCTTGATATCGTGATTGTTTCATTTTTGTCGGCGATGGAATGCTTTGGTTCGATTTTAAGTCGATCACCCCCACTTCAGAGTTTCAAAAATGTTAAAATAGGTTGACCTACATTCGTGTAAATACGGCACTCGAGGTCGATATGCCCGCTTCTCTCCCAAGTGACTCGATTCTTTACCAGAACCGTTGCATCCTGCTTGTCAACCAGCAAGACCCGTGGTTCTTGCGCAAGTTCGAGTGTACCGAGCTCCTCGATGAAATGCTGGAGCCACGATACATTTTCTGTACCGTGACGCCACATATTCTGCTTTGACAGTCGACGGTGCTTCTTTGTTGCTTCCTACTGCTTCGGGAAACAGCAGTACCAGCCAGTATGAACACATACCTACCCACTGACCGACCTCCCGTTTACTTTGTCACTGGCCCCATTGCAGAATGCTCGTGTGCACTTCCCCGTTTTTGGTAAATTAGTGCCCAATTGTTTGTTCGTTTTACGTAGTGAAGAATGTGCTTCGCACTACTCCAGTGCTCTTTGGTGGGATGTCCGTTGACTCGTGTGCTAGGTAGTGGCAAAAGCCCAGTCTGGTCAAGTACCTCCAACGGGGTAAAGCGGTGCACCAATCGTGTGCCTCGCTGGTTCTTGTGCTGGGTCCTGGCTGTCTCCTCTCTTGGGTACAGTAGTAGTACGCCGTTATAGTAACTCCGTGCGTAGTAAAACTTTGGTCGTAGTAGAAGGTCCCAATTCAATGGCGATTTCCCCTCGGGGGGGAAATTGGAGCTGAATTTACACCAACTTCGGAACCGGAAGCGTAAAAAAAATTGGGAACTGAAGCCGGTACAGATTTCGTTGGCAGAAAAGATGGACATCGTACAGAAAGAAACGTTCCCCCCCCCCGCCATTTGTTCCGGACAGATGCAAAAAAGAGCTCGGTCGGCTCTGTTGTGTGCCTCTGCCTATCCTCGCTGCGCCGCGCGCTGCCGCCGTCGCATGTTCAGTGCTTGGCCGATTTTGCACACCTGCCAGGCCTGTCGCGCCCACTTTTACACCATCTAGTGATTACTGTAATATGCCGAGTCGTGACTCATCCCCGAGCCACCGTCCACCCCACTTTTTGGGCGAATATCGATTTCCAAAAAAACGCAGTCATCGCCCACCCCTACAAATACCCCAACGCGAACTCCGCGATTCGCAAACATTCGTCCTACGGAACGGTGCGGCCGTGGTGGCTGCAGACCTTACGGTTGGAGGACGTCCGTGACGAAGCAAAACGAAGAAGCGAAAAAAACTTCATTTTCTTTACCCATTTCCTCCCCAATTACCGCGAGCTTGAAGTACATGCGTGCAAATGGAAAGCTATGCGGATAACGGTATGGAACTCTGTTTTGCTTGCAAAAAAGTGTGTTCGGACAAAAGAAAAAGGTCGGAAAGACAGCGTAAGCAATAACCCATTGAGGGATCGCGAGGTCAGTGAATGCCCCATATCCTGGAATGTAATGGCAGAGTGTAAGTTCAAAGTCTGTCTGCACCGAAATAAGGTCAGCGCAAACTCCCTCCTGCCCCCGGAACGCCACCACCGCGGTTGGTAAGGTTGTGCAATGTTTGAAACAAATCCAATGGGTAAATAAAGTTTTGCTGCAATGCCGCACACAGACGTTTGTAAAGCGTCCCAATGCGAGCTTCGTGTTTGTGGTGCGCTAGACCATGATGGAACAGTAAAACTAAAATGTGCTTCGCATATTCTCCGCAAACCAGGCTCGCGGAATATATAAAATATTCAAGTAACTGAATACTTGCGATTCAATTTGTGAATCAAACTATTCGAGAACCTTACCATTTGGTTCATATTGGTAAATTCGAGATTCGCACACCCCTACAAATTATCCCAGTTGTGGTACTGGCAGTACCGGCAGTACAACCACTAGCATGGTGTCTTTAAATTGTGTCATGCAGTGGTGAGTACACAAACGTGTGCCGATACAATTTTAATTAAAACAAAAAAGAGTAATCGAGGTTAAGACGAGTCGGTAGCACGAGCTTCCGCCTTACATGCCCTGAGATGCAAGCGTTACTAGACTCGGCAACCGCTCCCCCTTTTGATAAGTCAATTGTCAACGTACAAAACTTCGCTCCTAACATCGCTCACGCTATATTTGGTGCTGTACAGTTTCCTAAAAGACCTCGAATGTTACGCAGCTAAATCAACATGTGACAACACAAATATAATTTTGCGTGATAGATTTTTGCGCTTAATCTACTACCCACAATGAAATCAGCCGTACTACGAAACATTTTGCCGGTTCCACAGACTTTGTTTTAAAGGGATACTACAACAAAATTTCGGCGCTCATTTTTTGGTCTATATGTGTTCAAAAAACCAGCATCACATCGAACATACCAATATCTTGTTAAAAAAGTCACGAAAAGGAATTTTAAAACGAATTAAACGATTAGCAAAGAGCACCTGGTGGATGTCGCTAACGCCTCGCTTGTAATGCCCGTCTAGGAACCTTGACAGCTAGTGACGGAGGTTGTCTCGTCTCCGGCCACGACGAGAGAAGAGGGGCAGGAGGAACTCCCCTCTTCCCGAGAATGCCTTTTGTGTGTCCCAGAAGTCGCTATTGTCCCCCTACAAGATTATAGAAGATTAACCCGCCACTCAAAATTCGTACAAAAGCAGCCGCTTCGGTGGCTTGAACGACTAGGCCATCCTCTCGACGTCAGCCTCGCCGTAGCTTTGCTCGTCTTGAGACGACCTACGTCACGATTGCGTTGGATGTCACGTGGTCTCCGCTGGGCCTTCTCCGAGCGCTTGCCAGAGTGGGCCGTTTATAACGAAAAATACAGCCACCAGGCTCAAAATACAAACGTGCGATTGTCATTTACGGATATTGTGGATCATATTCAACCTATTTTTGAACACGACGGGAATATTTCAAATTTCGTTGAAGTATCCCTTTAAAGGCATCTGACCATAGCGTACTCCCTTTCACGGTACGGCAGACCGCGTCAGAAGCTCGGAGCCACCTGAGCCGACCCAATGTCACGTGAGCGTCATGCGACCTCCGAGAGGTACGCCGCGACGTACGGGGTGCGTCATCATGTGATACATTTGCAACGCATGGCTCGTAACATCTATCGAGATCTACGATAAGCTGAAACAAAGCACAAAAGTGCCACGGGCGAGCCGGAGCATCTTTTTTAGAATCTTCGCGGCGTTCTCAGCTTTGCAGTCGCACTCACGGCGTGCACATGTCTTCAAGGCAGTCACGCGCAACGTAGACAGCCTTCGCCAGTTTACGGGACTGCCGCGGTGGGTACAAAAGCCGTCGCTTTGGGCAATCCGAAGCAGGTTCGGGGTCGTACAGGCCACACGGTTACAAGCTCAGGCACTACAAATGGCGAGCTAGCTAGCTTGTCCCAGGCAAGCCACCGGAGTGCAGCGGTCGAGATTAGGAGTCGATTATTCTCGCTGCGGATACAAGCACCGGATGTGAACGTAGCGTTTGTTTGCCGACTTAGCTGCCGCAACGCATGTTTCCCCAGCAACGAGTGCAATAGTGCTTTCAACGTCCCCGTCGTCACGTCATTGTTGTCACAGCCAGTCACCTCGCGGTCTGCAAAGGTGGTAATCGATATCCGAGCACTTGGCGAAAAGCGCTGCCCAACCGTGCAGCTCTATGGTCGAACGTGAAGATTCGCTTTCGGCACGAACGGGCCGCTAGGGAGGTTCACTCACAGCCGTCGGCGGAGGCCTGGTCCTCGGCCCACTTGATGCGCCCCATCATGAGGCGGCGATACTTCTTCTGCTGCCGGGGCCCCCCCTCCACCACCACCAGGTTCACGTTGCGGTAGAGCACCACGCAGCCGGTCAGGAACAGCTGCTTGGCGTTCATCTCCACCTTGAACTTCTTGGCCGGGTTCGTCAGGCTCAGCAGCCTGCGTGGATGGCACTTCTGAGGGAAAGCTCTCGCACGTGTCCTTCCCGATGCGACCAGGGAGCATTCCGGGAGTTTTGGAAGCTGTCCAGACAAATTAACTGTCTCAGTATCTCTGTATCTGCATCTCTCAATTTCAAATAGCTATTGAAAAAACCATAAATAAAAGCGATGCCAAAACCAACATTCGAGCTTCCCCGCGCTTTCTGGTGGTGCGACGTTGCACGTGGCAAAACTTGCGGCTTGGCGGGCCAGAAATGGATGTTGTTGTTTGCGGGTTTTATGGCGCAACAGCAACGGAGGCCATACTGCGCCAGACTAAATTAACTGATGAAACTCCTATAGTTACCTCATTAAAAAAAGATGATCCTGAAAAAACTGGGATTAGATCTGGTGTATAAGGCCAGTACTAGTAATAAATGATAAAACTCGATTAAGAGGAACGAGAGGGTGCTCTCCCAGCAAAAGAGCGGGATGAAATGGAATACAATATCTAAAAAACTCAGGAAAATGAGCGCGTCGTTCAGTGTCGAATTCCGGGCAGATCCACAAAATATGAAGAATAGTAAGATTGTGTCCACAGTGCTCACAAACTGGTGGATCCTCCCCACAAAGGAGATATCTGTGTGTAAGGAAGGAGTGCCCGATTCGAAGCCGGCACAATACAACTTCGTGAAAGCGGTTCTTAAGTAAGGAGCTCTCCCAAGACCCAAGGACTGGTTTGCTTACATGGAGCTTGTTATTAGACTCCATAGCCCACTCTGCCTGCCATAGACGAAAAAGTGACGACTTAATTAATGACTTGATATCCTGATAGGGCAAGCTAGCTTGATATTGAGAGCAGTTACCTGAAGATGCAGCGAGCCTGTCTGCCTCCTCATTACCCTTTATACCCATATGACTCGGAACCCAGCAGAATTTTATATTGTGACCCTTACGTAAAGCTCCAATAAGTTTACTTCGCACCTGTTCCACAAGCAAATTCTTAGTGGCTTTTAGAGAGCATATTGCAGTAATAGCACTTTGAGAGTCCACAAATATTACGGCCCGTCTAGTTTTAGTCTTCAGAATATAATCCAATGCAAAAGACACAGCATAGATTTCAGCAGTAAATATACTCGCAAATTTCTCTAGACGTTTAACTTTTACAAAACGACCTGAATGCACGGCACACCCGACAAACGATGAAGTCTTGGCACCGTCCGTGTAAAAGTGAGCATAATCTTTATATTTCTCTTCCAGGTCTAGGAATTCCTGCTGAATCACAAGAGCTGATATGCTATTCTTATTAAACTTAGTTAAAGTCCAGTCACAAAAAACACGCTCCACATTCCAGGGCGCCACGCAGACTGTGTTATGAATTAGGTTAAGTTCGTCCAGACGAAGTTGAAGTGAGGAACTAAATTCCTCTATACGAAAACTTAACGGTCTGACGATGCTTGGCTTATTTTCAAAGAGACGATAGAATTGAGACCTTTGTACGGAATGATACGTTGGGTAATCAGGGTTTGCTAGGATCCTAGACGCGTAGGTTAGGCTGAGGTATTGACGTCTTTTACACAGCGACATCTCATTTGATTCCGCATACAAACTAAGTACAGGCGATGTCCGAAAAGCACCTGTTGCCAAACGCAAGCCAAGATGATGTACAGGATCCAACATCCTGAGAGCAGATGGGCGAGCTGATCCGTACACCACGGCGCCATAATCGAGACGAGATCGCACAAGCGCGGCGTACAAATGCAACAGGCATTTCCGATCCGACCCCCATGATTTATGAGCCAAAACTTTCAGAAGGTTTGTGGAACGAAGGCAAATTTCCTTGAGAAATCTCAGGTGGGGAATGAAGGTAAGTTTTTTATCAAATATAACACCAAGAAACCTGTGCTCCTTCCTAACAGGAATCAGAGTACCGTTTAGTTCCAAAGCTGGGTCTAAGGAAAGCCCGCGACGTAGGGAAAAAGGCACACAGACTGTCTTTGCAGCAGAGAACTTGAAGCCATTTTCGTCCGCCCACTTACAAAGTTTGTTTATAGCCAGTTGTAACTGCCGCTCACAACTAGAAATATTGCAAGAAGATGAGGAGATCTGTATATCGTCGGCATAAAGAGAGTAGGAAATAGACCGAGGTAGCATTTGTGCGAGAGAATTCATTTTCAGTACAAACAAAGTGACGCTCAAAATGCCCCCCTGTGGGACTCCGTTTTCTTGAACAAAAGGTTTAGACAGGGTGCTGCCAAGCCGGACTTGAAAGGTTCTGTTTGTTAAAAAGTTCTTAATGCATTGCAACATCCTACCACGGATATTGCAAGCATACAAGTCTTTCAGGATACCATATCTCCAAGTGGTATCATATGCCTTGTCTAAGTAAAAAAACACTGCAACACAGTGCTGCTTGTTCACAAATGCTTCGCGTATAACGGTTTCCAGGCGAACCAAATTATCGAGAGTAGATCGACCTCGGCGAAACCCGCACTGATATTTGTCAAGAACCTTTTGCCTTTCTAATATGTATATTAACCGCCTGTTTATAAGCCTTTCAAATGTTTTCCCGACACAGCTCGTCAGAGCAATGGGACGGTAACTTGATGGTAGTGAAGGGTCTTTCTGTGGCTTGAGGAGCGGGATGACATGTGCATGCTTCCAGGCATGGGGAAAGCAGGCTTTTTCCCACAATAAATTGAAGAACAAGAGAAGACTTTTCAGGGATTCAGGAGAAAGGCGACGAAGCATTTCATAATGAACTGCGTCGGGCCCTGGAGCAGACACCCTCGTTATGTCAAGTGCCATTTCAAGTTCACACTGCGTGAAAGGCTGGTTATAAGGCTCAGAGTCTCCTCCAGACATGGAGATATTTTGCCGCTCTGCACGAGATTTAAATCTACTGAACGAATCACTGTAGTTTGCCGAGCTGGATGTGTTATAAAAATGTTCACCAAGGATGTTGCCGATGTCAACTAAAGATGAAGAAGGGGCATCAAAAGTAGGAATTGTATAGCACCTATAGTCTCCATTTATTTTCCTGTATCTATCCCAAACCTCCTTGGCTGGCACAAAACTATTTATAGAAGAAACATACTTCATCCAGGATTTCCATTTTGACTGTTTCCTGGTCCAACGGGCTTTAGCTTTCCGCTGCCTGAACTCTGCGAGATTACGTGATGTGGGATATCTGCGAAATTTGCCCCAAGCCCTGTTTTGATCCGCTAAGGTTGTGGCACACTCCTTGTTCCACCATGGTTTGCATTTTTTGGCACATTACCAGAGGTTCGTGGAATAGACACCTCAGCAGCTTTTAGTATCTGCTCAGTAATATACAGTGTAGCATCTTCGGGTGACATAGAAGAAAGCAGAGCAGGGTCCAAGGTGGAATGTAACCCAAAAAGTGACCAGTCAGCTTTATCTAACTTCCACCTAGGGATACGTTTCAAAAGTGAGGGCAGCTGAACAACGCTCTCTAAAACAATCGGAAAGTGATCACTGCCAAAAGGGTTGTTAAGAACATTCCAAGTAAAGCAAGGAAACAATGAGGGCGATGAAATCGACAGATCTATGGATGTAAATGTGGTGTGAGCTGCACTGAAAAATGTTGGCTCTCTCCCATTAAGAAGGCATAGCCCAGATGCCAATAAAAAACGTTCAACTACACCTCCACGAGAGTCTTGACGGATACTACCCCAAAGGGGGTGATGGGCATTAAAATCGCCTAGAATGATAAAGGGTTGTGGCAGCTGATCTACAAGACCCTGCAATTCACTAAGATGAAATGGAGTATTAGGTGGTAAATAAAGTGATACTACAGTTATGAGGCGGTCTAAAAGAAGGCACACTGCCACGGCTTCAAGTGGTGTGCAGAGCGGGACCTCAGAGCAGGCGACTCCACCTTGTACAACCACTGCCACGCCACCAGAGGCAGTATCACTAAGACGGTCTTTCCTAAAGACCCGGTGACGTCTTAAAATATGAGGAGAGCGATCATGAAGATGAGTTTCCTGAAGAGCAAGAGCTATCGGCCGAAGCTCATCCATGAAATGATTTATATCATCAATATTTCTTAAAAGGCCGCGACAGTTCCATTGCATAAAATTTACTTTTGCCATTTATAAAATTTGTTTATATCGGAAAATGTAAATCAATAAAACTCGGTAGTAAAAAGATTAAAACTAGGGAGAGAGACAACTTGGATTACTTCGGCGCAGTTACCGGTTTTTTGTTCTTCCCAGCACGGGTCTGCGTCTGCCACTCCATACTATCCGGGTCAGAAGCAGGAGCAGCCAAATCGTCTAACTCTATGGACAAGTCTGCCTCTTGAGTCGTGTCGCTGGTGTTAGCCAGTGTTTTCTTCCGACTTGGATCACGGGGAGCCAGGCCCCGGCCGCGACCAGCGGAAGAGGCAGCGGAGGTGCTGGGCAGAGCGTCTTTCAACTCTGCCTGCTCCGGCCCCTTGGATACTGGGAGAGCAGCACGAGAGTTGTGCCGCTCTTTGGAAGAGGCCCTCTCCAGTGAGTTGGGGCGGGAGTGTCGCTCCTTCTCACTGGGGGAGGGCGACGAAGTAAGGACTGGCAATGGCGTTGCCTGCCTGTCCTTAGACTTGAGGGCAGCTGGTGTACTTCCTCCACAAGGTGGGGGGAGCTGCTGCCCCTGCGGGGGGGTTGGGGCCCGAAGGGCCACTGCCAGGGCTTCAGGCGAGACCTGGGTGGCCTTCGATTCCGTTCGCGGTGGAGGGCCCCTGCGCACCGCATCGGAGTACGTACCTTTTGAAAGAAAGGAGAATCTTTGCTTAGCTTCTGGATATGAAATGTTTTCTTTGGCTCTCAGGGTAAGGATTTCTTTCTCTTGTCGCCACAAGGGGCAAGAGCGAGAGTAGGCAGGGTGAGGACCCTTGCAGTTGGCACAGGAAATGGCATCTTCACAGATGTCGGCTTGATGGTCGTGGCTGCCACACTTTGCGCAAGTCTCTCTCCCTCGACAGCTGCGCGATCCGTGGCCAAAGCGCTGGCA